CACAATGCTTTTGGAATCATATCTCTTTTGGGAGATATATGCTTCAAAAAAAAAACAGCAGCATTGCAAAGAGGTTAAGATTTGACCAACATTCAGAGTGATATTTCATTGTACACAGAAAGAGCAAAACTGGGACGCTGGGTAACCTTGCCAAAATATCCGCAATTTATTCATTTTACTGCATTTGTAGTCTTACAGAAATGTTGTATTTCTCCATAATTCTATTCCAGGTAGATGTTGTACCTTGGTATTGGCAAATATTAAAAAAATATATATATATATATTTACATAATCGGCCCACAATTTCCATAATTGTGCATCCCCACAAAATATGGTTGTAGAGGTAGATAAAGGAATAAGAGGAACAAGAAACAGACTAAAATTAGAAAAAGTAAAACAAAAGAACAGAAGAAAAATAAAAAAGAGCTGACAATGTGGACAAAATGGCGAGAATACAGGCAGAATTATGGACAGAAAAATGATGGGAAGGAGAAAAACGCCTAATCCCATTTCTTATTTTTACCCCTACCCCTTGTTTTCGAGTATCACCTTCTCCCTTCGAACTGGGTTACAAGAGGTAGTAGTTGAAATCTTCCCTACTAAATGGGACCCTCAAAAAAAAAAGAACGTTACTTTATTAACAGGCTACTAGTGGTGCCCTGCCAGTCTGTAGTGATAGCAGAGGAGGATAAAGTTCAGCAAGCTCACTGCTGGTCTTTAGTTACATTTAGGGCATCATATGCCCTCATAGAAGGGGGGACACAATAATTATTTAACACCCACCCCTAATTCTTTGGTGATATAAAACTGAAGTCAGGTATTTGCTAACTTCTTGTTCAAATGTTCATGTTCCACCTTAAATGGTGGAACGCCTGAGATGCCAGAATGTAACTGATGGACTATTTAAGGTGGAATGGGAAATTCAGCTATCTAGCTCCTGAGACATCAGCATACTACTAGCTATTTTTATGTTTCTTATGAAGAAAATTACCATAATACATTGAAATGCCATTAAACTAAGATAATATAATGATTATCGTAATTTTTTAACAGAGAAAATAGTGACATTTGTAGGTTTCTTTGGTTGCTTCCACAGCTATCTTGCCAGTGTTTCTTTTTCTCTTAACACTCTCTTTGGAGTGTGTCTCTGAAAACCCTCAGTTGGAGGGCCATGTAGCCCTAGCCCTAACCCTAGCCTCTATCTAAACAAAAATCGGGACACCTACCCCTAGGTGTAAACGTGCAAAAGGGAGGGCTAAGGGCTAAGTGGTAGGAGCAAGGGTGAAATAGGATTGGACAAAAGTGAGAGAATTGAAAAGAGGGAAAAGCAAGACAGTGAAACAAAAATGAAAAAGGTTGAAACAGATGAGAAAAAAGTGTGAGCGGAGAGATAAATTAGGATCCTAATTAGAAAGGACTGTGATGAAGATGGAAGATCAAGGCCAGAAAATGATGGATGGAAAAATGATGGATGGAAGATGTTGACGAAAGCGTTCCGTATGCATAATGAGTAGAAAGGTCTCCAAGGTCTGAGACTTCTTCCAGGTTCAGGTGCCAGCAATCTGCTTTTGCGAGTAGAAAACTGCTGAGTTCTGCAGTTTACTGTTTGGGAAAGACATCATCAGCTTAAGCGAGGCAATCAGTGGCTGAAACCATAGAGCTCCAATTACAGGCCTGGGGTCAACAGCACAGAAATCAATCCAGTTCCTCCTAAAAGCCAGAAAACCCTCAGCTCTCTGACCTGTTTTGCAAAGAACGTCTCCCTCCAGGGAGCATATTGATCAGTGTAAATTGCACTAGAAGGCGCCCACAACCTGAGGCAATGCAGAGCAATTCTTAGGAGGATGGATCATCAAAATAAACCCTTGATAAAAACAAGATCCTTGTGTTAGTTCCTAATGCTGTGCTGAAATTATACCGCATACAGCTTTCTGCCTCCAGCCACGGATTCATAAATGTCCAGAGTGACAGTGTGCACAAATCCCGATGCTGTACTGGAAGTGGCTGGAATCAAAAGATACTGTACGTGAGCTGCCTGCAAACCAAAGGCAATCTTGGGGAAGTGATGCAACAAGAGTGAATGTAACTCTAACAACACAAAGAAGACTTACCTGAAGCTGCATCCAGGTCACCATGTCCAGGATGGAAAGGGTAGGAGAACACAGAAGAGGTAAGGGTAAAGAGAAAAAGAGGAGATCATTGAGAAAAAGAGAAGAGAAGAGAAGAGAAGACATGAGAAGAGATGGAATTTGAGAAATGAGAAGAAAGGAGAAGAGAAGAAAGGAGAATTGTTGAGTAGAAAAGAGACAATTGACAAAAAATGAAGAGAAAAAATGATTTAAAAAGTGAGGAGAATTTAAAAGAATGGAGGAGAAGAAGAAAAAGGAGATGAAAATTGTGAAAAATTTGAGAAAAAAGAAGGAAGAAGAAAAGGAGAGTTGTTGAGAAGAGAAGAGAAGAGAAGAGAAGAGAATTGAGAAGACAATTGTTGAGAAGAGAAAAAGAGAATAGAAGAAGACAAAATGAAAGAGAAGAAAGGAGAATTGTTGAGAAGAAAAGAAAATATAATAGAGGGGAATTGAAGAGAAGAGAAACAAATTTAGAAAAAGAAAAAAGAAGAATGTTAAAAAGTGATGAGAATTGAGAAGAATTAAGAAAAATAGAATTGTTGAGAATAGAAAAACAGAAAATGAAAGAGAAGAAAGGAGAATTGTTGAGAAGAGAAAAGAATATAATTGAGGAGAAGAGAAGAAGAGAAGAGAAGAGAAGAGAAGAGAAGAGAAGAGAAGAGAAGAGAAGAGAACATGTTAGACAAATCTGGCTTTTCCTGCTCTTGTTAAAAGCCGACGACAATTAAACATCATCTGACTTACAGGCCAATTACTCTTACTTGACACAGTCTTAAAAGTAAGTGGATTACTTTAAGTTCAGCCAACTCATTTCCTTTGACTAAGGTTCTGTATCAGTTGTGGCATGCCCAGGGAGTTCACTGACTTTGAAAGAGAGTTCTTCAGAAGCTTTATGTGTCTTTCCACAACGAGAGATCAGTTCCTCTTCATCAAATGCGCTAGAGAGCATTGCAACACTTTGAAGAATGAACTGACTCTAAATTAAAGCGGAACCTTTGGTTTTATCTTTGGCTTTTGCAAACAGATAAAGTTATCTCCGAGCCTGCCAGCGGAGCTACAGAATCTTATCATCCGTGAATGAGTGCGAACTTGTTAGGCTTTACAGCCGATGTGACGGGGCTGTAAACTTCATGTGTTTCTTAACTCTCCCAGGTCCCCCAGTGGCATATAGGCCTTCAAGCGCATCATCTTACAATTTGTCTAATTATTTCTGACTCATAGCTCTTTGAATGTGGATTGTAAAGTTTTAAACCATTTGTAAGTAGTAGATGTTATTATGATTTGAATTTGATGGAAAGTCAGTGGCTGTGTTGACATGCAAAGATTTTTGCCAATCCGATTGAATACATTCTGATTATAGACTAAGACTGAGGTGTTTATATGCTCACTCTACCCAACAATCTGATGGAAAATCTCCATGTACCAGCACACTACAGGTAATCCGATGTGAAGTTACACACATGCATACAGTACCATTTAGTGTAGATGTTACCATGACAACGATCATCATGTGAGTCCAGTCAGAGTGAGATGAGCAGCAGTGAGCAGTGCTTGTGTTTTTTATTACTTTAAAATTATGTCAGACTCAGGAAAACATACTTCACATGTACATATTAAAGTAGGCCGAGAGGAAGACGCCATGCTCTGGGACATAAGCCAGATGCCTGTCCACCACTGCCAAGCATAAACTTCGTCTCCTCTGCAGACCAGTTTCTGCTCCCACCATGCTGAACATTATAAACTTTCACTATGATGCGAACATACTTAAACTTTCCAATTGGGAATGTAATTAGATGAACGCTGTTTCCAACTGGGAATGTAATTCAATTTACATGGATGTTATTCTCCTATTTAACAGATTATTTACAAGTGTACCCACCTTAGATATTGGATAGATATCGTATTCCAAATAGCCTCAATCAGACTAGTCTAATACCACTAAGGTGTATAAATGGATGTATTCTATTATGGATTATCAGGCTGCATGTAAATGTGGCTATTGTTGTATTTTGTTTTGCAGAAAGAACACATAAAATTTACATTCTGGGAATGCATTTGTAACTATTTAACATTATAACAAATACAAAACATAAATGCATATGTTCAAACCTGTCAATACAAGTGTGAAGGTAGAAAATTGTGTAACTACAATGTAATTAACAGTGTAACTACATGGAATTAATAAGGCAATACTGTAATGTAAATCAAATTTGCAGCAAAATTGTAATAATAACAACTCTAGACTTCTAAGAGTTAAATAGTAAACAATTCAACCTATAATTTTTAATACTGTAGAACAATGTAACTCATGAAATAATAAAATCAAATTCACTGTCTTGAACATACACTGTAAAAAGTGGCTTGTCAGATCTACTTAAAAAATTACTTCATGTAACAAGTAACAAGTAAATTAACTAGTTTTATTCAACCTTAATAAATACTTTGAATGAATGATTCTTCCAATCAGAATAATTTTTTAAGTTAAATAAAAGTATTTTTTTATGTAGATCTGAGGAGCCACTTTTTACAGTGTAGATGAACATAAGAGACTCTTTCATAAACCTAAGTGGTCATCCCTCCAGAATATTATTGTGGATTTTCTATGATGATTCTTTTGGAAAACTTAAAGTTCAACAAAAGATAAACAAATATGGAATCCAGTCCCTTATCTGTTCAACACCAGGCACAAAAACAGACTGTACTTTCTAGCACTGACACTCATAGTAGGCTAAATTTGGGTCAAGGTTGTTAAGAAGAAGATCCACACAAAGCCGTTAGATCTTTGTCAAACTGCTTGTGTTGAAATGTTCCGGACTAAGATTAGCGGAGCTCTTTCTGGGTCAGCAGTTCTATTCAGAGCCGTGTCCTCACCTTCCACATGCTGGCTTCCTTGCCATACACAACTGCCATGTTCTTGACTTTGTTCTCCTGAATGTTGCGCTTCTCCGTCTCGTTCAGCTCCTCTGACACGAAACCCATGAAGGAGTTATCCGGCGTGTGAGCTGAGGGTAGGAAGGTGTAATGGACAATAAAACAGAAGACATAATTTGCAAAGTGTAGTTTATATAAAATTGTTAAATTATCCTTAAAGCTAACATCTAACTTTTTAACAGTATAACAAAAGTTAGAACATGAAAAAATAAATAAAAGTGTTACTGATTCATTCAGACTTATTTGAAGGTTCAGTGATGAAATATGACCTCAGTGAACACTGCAAGACACAACTGTAAAGGGTTTGCTCAATATAATTGTCTGACAATACAGGAAATGTACAGTTATTGCTTATAAATGGTTTCTATATTATTATTATTATTATTATTATTATTATTATTATTATTATAAAAACTCTCAAAAAATGTAATTTTACAAGAGAAAGAAAGAATATCCCTTTCAACCCCTTAAATGTTATGTTTTATTACACACTGCTATAACCTATGAATAGCTGAACCAGTTTGCATTGTAGTCCCTGTAGTAACAAAATAATAAGCCTTAGAATATAATAACCTTGAAATTTTAAGGGGTTAATGAAGGTTTTTTCTTTTTAATGTTAAAAAAAATCAATGTAATGTTGGACTTCTGTTCCTCAAACTATCTTCACCCAAAGTAAAGAGCAGCTGGCATTTTCAAATCATCTTAAAAAAAAATTGAGATACAGTGTGGATATCCAATATTCACTTGTTCATAGGCATTTGTTGTCCCCTTAAAACCCCTTAAAGGGTCTGTACACTTAAGTTCCTCACTCTTATAACTACAGAACATACACATTAGTTTTGTAGTAGACACTGGATAATTTGTCATAGGTCCAGTTCCTAAAGTCTTATTAGTAAAACCAAATATTGAGCAGCATTTTAACAGATTAATCATGAAACCAGCGTCTTAGCTAACAGAATTCTGCCCTTGACATCATTTTATCATTCATTTCTATATAAAGGCACTGAGCAGTTACTGTTCTTTTTAGAGTGAAAATGAGGAGAGGTAGATAACCTCCAGCAGCTTGTAGTTAAGTATTGCTTAAGGGCATGATAGCAGCGGTCACAGAAAGGGCAGAGAAATTAGGACCTTCAGGCCTCCAGTGACCTAACCCAAATACTCTCCAGACATAGAGACTTTACTCACCATAGAGATGAAATAAATAGCATTTTATAATATTGTGTCACTGTGAGACAGTAAGTCTGTTGATGTACTTGTCTTATATGTTAAGTGGTATATTTCTTGGTAAATGTATATTGTCATTGCCATATGAAACTCTTTTTTCTTTGGCTCATTTGAAAACTCCAGCTGCCTTTTAAACCATGTGAACATTTTTTGATGAATGGACTTAAAAGAACTGGTTCAAAATTACTTCATTATTTTCATTAATAATCTCTTAAATCTAACAGATTCTTTTCTTTGGCATCTCTACTCAGCTGTACTTACGAAACATGGTCATATATTGTCTGGAGTTGAGGTTCCAGTACCCCCAGTTGGTTCTGTAGCCATGTAAGGTTGCATATTCCTCATGGTTATATGCCGGCTCCGTCCCAAACGTGTCTATTACCCGAATATGGCACCTTAGAAAACAAGAAATGGAGAAGAAAAAGAAAAATCATGATTTTTTTAACTGCACACAATGACCGGCCACTTTAGTTTTGTGTAAAAACTCCAGCAACACCTCTGTGTCTAATACACTCGTACCAGCACCACAGACACTACCATGTCAGTGTCATTGCTGTGCTGAGAATGGACCACCACCACATAATATTTGGACAACAGAGGCCCTGTGGTCAGAAATTGACTAATTATAAATGGGGTTGAGGAGGTTGGTAAACTGTCCAGCAACAGAGGGGCTACAGTCTATACTGGTACACCTACATAGTGAAGCAAAAAGGTAGGTGTTTCTAATAAAGTGGCCACTGAGTGGAAATAAAAAGTTGTTTTTTCTAATAAAGTGGCCAGTCAGTGGAAATACAAGGTAGGTGTTTCTAATAAAGTGGCCGGTAAGGGGAAATACAATGTAGGTGTTTTAAATAAAGTGGCCAGTAAGGGTAAGTACAAGGTAGGTGTTTCTAATAAAGTGGCCAGTGAGTGGAAACTGTTGAAGGCTGAATGTGAGCATTAAATAAATAAACATACTAATTTTGGCTGTTTCTGCAGCCTTTTTCCATACTTAACTCTTTAAACTGAGAACTTTATTTATTTATTTTTTTTATTTAATAGTGTTTACATATGACATCTAACTCATATTTCAAAAAAAGTTATGCAACTTATGTGCCTTTCAAGCTAAATGTGCAGGAACTCAAAGAGAACCTTGACCAGTGTTAAGCTAGAGTGACACTTTTCTAATGAAAGACACTTAAAAACAGCTTCAACAAAGCAGTGAATATAAACAGAAAATTAAATCTCCCATTTCAGAAACCTGCGAGCTGTATACTGCAGTCAATTCTGCTGTATAAAGAATAGATTGTCATTGGCTAAGCACACTTGTTCCTCACGCTATAATCTAAAGCTGGAATGACAGGTTAGGGATGAGACGCCTCACCCACAATCGCTTCATTCAATCCCCGCATTGTGAACGGCCTCATTCAGCCCCAGCTGCCGCTGCGACACAACAGCGCACAATAGCCTGAGTAGAGGTCAATACGAGTCTTTGAAATCACCTTCAAATCAGCTCAGAGATTCAAAAAGCCATCAAAACAAAGTCTCACAGCACAGAGGAGTCAATCGGGATCAAGTAACAGCACCACTCTCTCTGATACGGCAGTCTCCTCCAGTCTTCTGCAGATAAACTTTAACTCTTTTAAGAAGTCCCGCTATCCCCGGCAATAAAAGAAGCGCGCTGTCCTTTCATGTGAATTATTTCTCACTAGGAAATCTTAGAAACAAGCTGCAAAATGCTGAGGAAAGTCCCGATTTTAAGCTTTCAGTGTATACCACATCTGTGTTTGTATGTAAACAAGGACATCTGTTATAGAAGATATGGTATTTTGATTTGAATTTGATGGAGAGTTCTTGTTTTGTTTTGATTCATAAAACTTTATGATGTGGAAATGAGTGGAGGTTCGCATGTAAATGATGAACCAGCTTCGGTGCGTGAAATCAAGCGCCAGCCTAACAGCACCTCATTTAAATGAAACACGCCCTAATTCATGCAGCTGCTTTAGTAAGGACCCAACAAAAACGACTGTATTCAGTGGCTTGTGAGCCAATGGATGCACTTGTAGGCGGAGTTTGAGGTGGAGAAGTTAGCGCACTGCTCCCCCTACTGACTAACTCTATAGTGTTAAGGCCACTGGAAAGAATTAAAAGTGAAATAAACAAAACATCACAGTTTTTAAGACAGTAGAATGATGTGATTGTGTAATGTATTTATGTCCCTAAAATAACATATTTAAACACTGTACTATTGAGTGTATCAGATGCTTCTGTGGTTTGTATTTTTTTATTTTTGGGCCAGTTCTCTGATAGAAATACTTGCAGCATTTGTTTATACCATTGTGTTTTCCCTTTGTACTGGATTGCCATGTAAACAAATTATTACTATTACTGTTATTTTCTATTCTATTCTTATTATTGCTTTTATAAGTGATGTTGACAATAATTTTGGCTAGTTAAAGCATTTTATCCTAAAATGGCACATTCACATTTCCACAAACAGATACAGCATATGAGCTTGATTGTACAGCTATGCCAAAGACAAAATTGATTAATGACGAAAGTGTTGGTGAAATTTGTCTGTGTTTATTTTACAGTCAGATTTGACTGTACACAACTTTGATGAATATGGCCTATTATGTTTTTAGCCTAGTGCATGTTTTTGTCATAATTTTACACTGAAAAAAAAACAAAACAAAACATGTTGGAAGCACAGATTCAAACCTATCAATACATAATGTATATTGAATGTATGTGTAATTCCCTGTATAACTGTGTAATAACATATGCAGTGCATACAATTTATCATGCAAGATTTATAAAATATATATGAGAATGATAAGCATCCTTATAAGGGTTAAATATCACATATGTTGTAAATGTATCAGCAAGTGGAGAGTGCAGTACTAGCTAAAGTATTACAAACAGTAAAAATGATGTAATTAATAAAGTAATTACTTAATTATTGCTAAGCAATACTGCAAAATGACAGTAATAACTCTAAACATAAGGGTAAATCATTGCTCACCCACTCACCAAAGCAAACACATGTTCAAATCTCTTTATGTATGAATTAAATGCTACAATTATTTCACATTTCGTCTTTGCTCACATCTCAAAGAAACAGAGCTGATGAAGATGTTTTCTCTCTCCAACAGCTCAGATTCAAGATGGCACAAAGTTCTGCACAACGTAAAGTCTCGTTTGAGACTGACTAACATCTCCCTTACAAATATCAGCCTTTAACATCTGTGGTTGTATCTGCTCTGTGATCTAAGAAGCAGCAACGAAAAACCTACAAGGAGCGAGAAGAACATGCGCTACGCTAAGCGAGTGCTAGGCGTGCTGGGGGGTTTTAAACATTGATGAGAGATGTTTCTTCTAGTTTTCTCCTCCGCTCACCATGACAGAGTCGTCAGGAAGAACAGATAAGACACCCCCTTTGGGAAACGAAGGAAGTGGGCTTAAAAGGAAGCGCTTTAGCTTTAAAACTTATTGCTGGAATATCTAAGCGAGATCTTAGAGACATTAATCTAGGCTAAGCTGGCCCTCGACCCGCTAGTGTGGAAAAGATTTGTTTAGAAAGATATGTCAGGACAGGTTTGGGTTTAGAAGCTAAGTTGTTGAATATACACTGTCAAAAGTTTGGGGACACCTTGCCTTCTTTTGATATTTCCTCAGTAATGTTTGATTTTCACTGCAGTTCTGTGCTAATCTTTTGGATGGATTTATCCAGACACTCAGCTTCTTGTTCATCAAATTATTGAAGACTCAGGTAAGAAATTAATGAAATACTCAGGTGATGAATGTACTGTAGGTAAGATATATATTGAAGACTTAGGTAGGATATGTATTAAAGACTCATGTGAGATACGTATTGAAGAGTCAGGTGAGACTCAGGGGAGAAACATTAAAGATTCAGGTGAATTATATATTAAAGACTCTGGTGAGATACATATTATAGATATGTACTAAAGGCTCCGGTGAGATACGTTTTAAATATTTACGTGAGACTCAGGTGAAAAACATCAAAGATTCAGGTGAGATGGGCATTAAAGACTCAGGTGAAAAACATTAAAGACTCATGTGAGATACGTATTGAAGACTCAGGTGAGAGTCAGCTGAAAAACATTAAAGATTCAGGTGAGATAGTATCGAAGACTCAGGTGAGATATGTATTAAAGGTTCAGGTAAGAGAGTATTGAAGACTCAGGTGAGATACATATTGAAGACTCAGGTGAGACTCAGGTTAGAAACGTTTAGGTGAGATATATATTGATGACTCAGGTGAGATAGTATCGAAGACTTAGGCGAGACATATATTAATTATTAATTAATTATTATATATTAATTCAGGTGAGATACAAATCGAAGACTTAGATGAGAAACATTAAAGATTCAGGTGAGAAATGTATTGAAAACTGAGAAATTGTTATGTAATCACCACCTGGTAAACTAATTACACATACCCATTCCTAATCCCTAAGTCGCCCTTTTGCTAACAGCCTAACGTCCTTTCCCAACAGCACCCCATTAATCAGGCTTCATAAAGCTCCCAGCTACTTTCATTAGCTTACTTTTACGACCCCATACCATCACCATCTCCACTTTATTAATAATACATTAGAGAGGGCTACAGCCAACAGCCCCCCTGCTCATTTCAATATTCACGTCTGTTTACGATCCTGAATGCCAATAGCAGGAGCGTTTAATCAAGGCCATGTGCTATAATCTCTGCTTCAGCATGGCTGGTTGTCTGTAGAGGTGGAGAAAGCCAGAGACGATGCCACAGGTTGGCCATGTGGATGGACACAGAACTTTATGTATAATAACATAATGTGCATTCATCCAGTTAACTCATTTACAAATTCTTAATTTTTCAGCTTTAGGATAAAAAGTAGAAAACATATTTAAAATTTTACAGATGCCTCAAATAAATGAAATATCAATTTTTTTTTCTATATACACAGCTTACATTCTTTTCAGGTGACTCACTTTCAGTTTTTTTAATGAAATCTGCAACCACACCTCCAAAGTTCAGTCTTAGACATTTGTTGCATTAAATGATTAAATGATAAGCACACTAATTGATTTTTAGCAGCTACACATTCTTTCAGACCCACAGTGTTGTCTTCTCACATTCAGTTAACAAAAATGTTACATAGGCCAACATATTTTAATAAATTGACAATTTTTTTACGATGCAGTTGCAGTTAAATAATTTGAATAGTATATGAAAACAACAGTAATAACTCTGGATTACTAAGGGATAGTTATTATCCTCTTGGTCCAGCTCATACAGCATGCATACAGCTATACCACGTAAATCCACATCTGATACAACGAAGGAGAACCGGAGAACTGCTCAATTAATTTATAGAGAACATCTGTACAACACTACAGCAACCATACCAGCTGCCATGTACACGTTGAAATGTCAACACCAAGTTATAAATAGAAAAATGAGACCTGTTTTGAAGCCAGAGCAGATTACATCTCTGTGTGGGCAACGGTGGATCAATATGGATCAATAGACTACATCAGAACATGAGCCAAGGCCTGAACCAAACATATACTGACATGGGAACCTGTTTCTAGTCAATGTTAGCGCTGACACATGATGTGTGAAAAGACAACGACTAACAGTTAATGTCTAGAAGCTGTTCCTCAATAGAAGGCCACTAATGTTGGTCAGTATTGATGCTAAACATGTGCAGGAAGATGTAACATTAAAAATAAACCTACAAAAATAGTTATTCATCAACCGTTTCAAAACTCATGGGTTAGAAAAAAAAGTCCAACAAAAGTTTATAATATTTTGTACACAGTGAAGATCTGTGTGTGCTTGTTTTAGAGTGAAGTTTGAACTGTTTTGTGTGGGTTTGTATTTCTATAGTTTAAAAATATGCATGTAATGTTTAAGGTAATATAAATGTTTAAGGTAATATAAATGGGAAAACAGCATCAGCAGCTTTATGCCAAGACTCTTTATTGACAGCCACTATAAAAGGTGAAATATAATGTCTTTTACGAACTTCCAAAAAGCTTTTCATTTAATCTAGAATGGCCAAAAAATACACTGTATTTGTAAATTGCACTAACATACTACTAGAGTCCCATAGGGGTGCCAGCAGAAACTAGCATTGTATTAGATGGTAGAGAGGTATGTTTTCTTGCTTTTCTTTTAACATCTATGGCTCAAACTAAAGGCCTAGCTCTAATAGTCATGGCTCACCACTGATAAAAGACATTGACTGTAGAAACATATATATATATATACACTGGGTACTCTACATACTGTAGAATTAAGTGCTACCAAAACAAGCTTTTGTAGTGCAACTTGTTTTGATTTAGTAATGAGCCTTAACCTTAACCTAGTCCCAGTCAACACTCATGGCTAGACTAGCAATCAGCTGGACTTATACATGGCTGGTGCAACTGGAGCCTTTCTTTAAAGCTCCTGGCGAGATAATACCAACAGCAAAGCTGCTCACTGTTTCACGCCACTTTCAGTCAAGCCGTGTGCTGTTCTCAGAAGTGTGAGAGCGAGGAGGGGGTGTGTGAACGTTTGTTGATGAGCATGTCTGTATCGCCTGGATCGATAAACACTATTTACACCGTGAAGCTGACAGCAGAATAACAACAATAATCTGTTGACAGACACGGCTATAAGGAGCGTGAGTCGCCGGCAGTGCACACACATATACGAACTGTTTCTGTGGCTGCAGTGTGAGTCAGAGAGAGAACCAGAGAACCGCCCGCCTGGAGGGACAGGAGCACTTACAGAGGAGTGAGAATTACAGAGAGAGAGACAGAGAGCGAGAGAGAGAGAGAGAGAGAGAGAGAGAGAGAGAGAGAAACTGGTGGCTTGATTAAGCAAAGCTCTAATTAAAGTGATTCAGCTAATCACTGTCTTCTGTAAGTGAGAGGGCTTTGAAAGGAATCCAGTCAGAGAGCAGAGAGCAAGAGGAAATTTAGCAGCATGGAAGGAGAGACACTCAGTAGAAAAGCCTTGAAATACCCTGCAGTGAGAAATGCACCTCTACTGCAGACACACACGTTTGGTTTTATACCTTATCTGGTGCAGAAGTCAGGGAGAACCCTTCATTTATTTAATTTTCAGTCAAAACCATAATTAAACGTAAGTTATCCCTTTTTCGGAAGATATAACAAAGGAGAGTCAATGGAAAATAACTAAAAAAAAAACAAGAGTTTCTAAAACTTGACTTCACAAAATGATTAAAAGCTACAAAGAAAATGGACCCCTAACAGCCATCTGGAAGCCCTGGTAGACACCAACACTGTCCCCATCTGATAAACAGCACTTAAAGCTTTCATCTTTCAGAGAGAGGAAAAAATCAAACTGCTTCAGATCTGAAAACATCCACAGGTGTTTCTGTCCATCCTTCCACTGTGAGAAGACGACGCCGTGCTATGGGTCTGAAAGGATGTGTAGCTGTTCAAAAAGCCTCACTGAGAAAAGGAGACAGACACATCAAACAAAGAAGCTGAACAATGGACTGACCACCCCAGAGTCCAGACCCCAACATCACTGAATGTGTTTGATTACTTCATAAAATGATCAACCAACTTCTAAAACTGAACTTTGGAGGTGTGTCTACAGATTTCTTTGAGAAACTAAAAGTGAGTCTCCTGAAAAGAATGGAAGCTGTAATAAATGTAAGGAGTGACACACTGAATACTGGAGATTTACACTGTGCTGTTGCTTTTGTTAGTTTGCTGCTTGTTGAATTTTCCATAGTTCTCCAATAAGTCTAGTGTGCTGAAAGTGCTGAATGTATTGCTTTAAAAGTCATTAAAAACCTGCACTGGAATGAGAATTACATTAGAGCAACGTACAGCACACAGCAGCTGGGCTTCAGCCTGCACTACTATGAATAATTCAAACAGTATATGTACTGTATTTATGTAGGAGTCTACATTTTAAAGACTTTTCTAAACCCAATCCTAATCCTAACCTTCATGAACAGGTTAGCCCTGCTTCTTTCTGGTTTTACTTCAAAGTTAGGACATGGCTTCCTGAAAAGGTGCAAAATATAACAAACACACAGAGAGAAGAGTCTGATACTGACTTGTGTTTCTTTAAGGAGAGACCCATGTGCTGCTTCATCTGCTGTAAGCCGTGGTAGTCTGTGTAGATGAGGTCAAAGGGCAGCGGTCCAGTCAGTGGACAGCTTCCTCTTCCTGGGGGCACGCCAAGAAATCTGAAGGGGGAAGAAAGAACAGGGGATTCAGGGGGTCTGATTTCATCTTATGAGTTCATACCTTGTGTACTGCTGGGGATCAGGATTACAAGGAGCATTCCCAGTAGGCAGCTCTATCAGTTGGTCCAAAAACAGAGTGGCTCGCACACTTCCTTAATGCACCTGTCAACATTTTTGTCAGGCAAAATAAATGGACTAAGCCTAAAATGGCAAAACATTAAGCTTTTAACCATCTTTCCATCATCATAACAAATCATTAGTCAGTAGATTAGCAAGAATTAAACAATTAGATGCAGTAAGTTATTGTGGGGGAGCTTTTCTCTTTTTCTTCAAATGCTAAAGGCTTGTAGAGAGCCTTTTACAGCAACAAAGTCAATATTGTTTCACTCTGCATTGACGGCTTCAAACAGCTGAAAAACATTGCACAGCTAGTTTGTGTTTAATGTGAGACCAAATTTTCTCCACATGGTTAAAGCTGGACTCTGACCAGCCAAAAACCATTAATAAAAACCATTTTATTTTGGGCTTGGCCCATTTTTCTTTTTTATTATTATTATTTTTTTCTTTCCACATGAGTGTTTATTCAAATATAACCCCTCTATTGCTGCCTAAATTCCACCAATTGTACAGAACGAAAAAAAGATGAGAATGTTTTCATTCAGAAAGCAGACAGGCTTCACATTTCTTAAAACAGATCACTTGAGCAAGAGGCAACAAGATGCAAAAAATCACAAGTAATGCTACTAGTTAGACAATTCTTAGGCCAAATCTCATTTCATTTCTTGCCCCTACCACTTAGCCCTTAGCCCTTTGTTTTGCATGTTCGGTAGGGTGTTCCGATTTTTGTTAAGATAGAGGTGTAGGGTCAAGTGTTAGGGCTACATGGCCCTCTAAACAGAGGTTTTTCAGAGACACACTCCAAACAGAGTGTTATGAGAAAAAAGAAAAACCGACAAGATAAGTAAGTATTCTCTCTCTTAAAAGCATGATAACCACCATATTGTCTTAATTTAATATCATTTCAATGTATCATGGTCCTTTTCTTCACTACAAGCATGAAAAATCAGTAACAGTATGCTAATGTCTCGGTAGCTACCTAGCTCCACTTAAGGTGGAACAAGAAAAATGTAATGAAAAGCTGGTAAATGGCTGACTTCAGCTTCATATCACTGAAGAATTAGGGGTGGGCAATAATAAATAATCGTTGTATCACATCTTTGAAGGCATATGATGCCCTAAATGTAACTAAAGCCCAGCAATGAGGTTGCTGAACTTTACCCTCCTCTATTATCACTGCAGACTGGCAGGGTCGCCTACAGAGCAGTGCTAGTAGCTGTTAATGAAGTTATGTTCTTTTTTATTTGTGGGTTGCCCCAATTTAAAGGGAAGATTTTAACCACTACTGAGTTCCAAGGGGCAAGTTGACACTTAAAAACAAGGGGTAGGGGTAAAAATAAGAAATGAAGAGATAAAAAAGATGGTTTATCAAGGGTTTTTTAGTGAAGAAAATGGTTCTATATAGAAGCATGAACACTCTTTATACACTCTACTATGTCAAGCCTGTAACAATAGTAGAACCGTTTTTGGTGCTATATAGACCCCTTATAGGTTCTATGGGGAACTATCCACAGCACATTCTCCATCAATCTGAAGAACAATTTCACCATGCAAAGAACCATTTAAGCAAGCAGTGGTTCTTCAGATTGATGGAGGATGAATTGTTGTATTGTTCTATATAGAACCTTTTTGAAAGTTAGCCTGTCCAGCCTGTAACAATAGCAGAACACCTTTTGGTGCTATATAGAACCCTTTTCAGCAATATTCTATATAGAACCATCTACAGCACATTCTCCATCAATCTAAAGAACCGTTTCATGCACAAATGGTTCTTTGCATGGTAAAATTGTTCTTCAGATTGATGGAGAATGTGTTGTTATATGACTGTATAAGGTTCTAGAACCTTTTTAAAAGGGCTATCTCAAGCAGAAATTGCCCAGAACTCCATCTCAACTATTTGGACTTCTCTTCCCTCCTACAGTCTTTCTAATCTAACCCTAACCCTAATATTTCAATCGTAAGATGAAGGCATGGTCTGAACTAGCTACAACCTCATTTCCAAAACAGTTGGGATGCTGTGCAAAATGTAAATAAAAACAGAATGTGATGATGCGCAAATCATTTAAATCCCCTATTCTTTAAAACGTGTTAAAAAATGATTCCAATCCATCTCTGGGGATTGAGTCCATCAAGGTCTGCAGGGTCAACCGGCATTAACCCTTGGACAGTAACTAAATAGTGTCTGCCATAGGCATGAATGCAAATCTGAAGTCATTCACTCTGTAGAGTTTCCTGTGGCAGCAGTTTGTAGTTCAACCAAAAGCCGCTGATGGAGATTCTGAAGAATGAAGAGGCTCTTTTAGGAAAATGAGGCTGACCCAACAGAGGCTGAGGTCACTCATCGTTAAGAAGTACTTATAGGCTTTTTTACTCAGCTGTGAGTATTATAATGTTGGCACTGATCCACTGGAGCATCAATTATTCATATGCTACCGTGTTAACCTGTAGATTGAGAGTTTTACGTTTTACTTTTCAAATATTTATAATATACTATATAATTACAGATTAGATCATATAGAGATCATATAGAGACATACATACATCATCTAAACCGCTTATCCTTCTGGGTCGCGGTGGGGTGCTGGGGCCTATCCCAGCTGTCATTGGGCGGAAGGCAGGATACACCCTGGACAGGTCGCCAGTCCATCGCAGAATTCTTTTTTTATTTTTATTTTAATTTACACTGTAGACGGGGCGGCATGGTGGGGCAGTGGGTAGCGCTGTCGCCTCACAGCAAGAATGGCCTGGGTTCAATTCCCGGCCGGGCGACCAGGGTCATTTCTGTGTGGAGTTTGCATGTTCTCCCCGTGTCTGTGTGGGTTTCCTCCGGGTACTCCGGTTTCCTCCCACAGTCCAAAGACATGCAGTCAGGCTGATTGGACATGCTAAAATTGCCCCTAGGTGTGAGTGTGTGTGTGAATGTGTATGTCTGTCTGTCTGCCCTGTGATGGACTGGCGACCTGTGCAGGGTGTATCCTGCCTTCCGCCCAATGACGGCTGGGATAGGCTCCAGCACCTCACCGTGACCCAGAAGGATAAGCGGTTTAGATGATGTATGTATGTAGACAGGTTTGTATCTGCACTTTTTTCTGCCCATTTTGATTTTAATCAAACAAAAATTGTGAAGAAATGTGAGACTGTATAAACAATAATAAAATTTTAGCAAATTAATATCGTAATACCATAAAATAAACACTCTTTCTTCTACTTACAAACGCAAATGTGGTGTAGATTAAGACAGGTTATGACCCTGGACTCTCCATTTCTTCGCTTCTTTCAATGTGCTACAAGTTAGAAATAATTCAAAAAACGTGCTTTTCTTATCCCCGGTGACCTTTGAGGCATAACACTCTAGTACTTACACAGCAAATGAATGCATTCACAGAGAAAGCATAAGAGAAATTGAAATGTTGATGGAATCACCTGAAGAAAAAAGATGAAAAAGCAGGGAAACAGATAGCAAAGTCCTCCACACGCACCCCAGATGAAATCCCAACCCACTGTGGCCCTGCTTTCTACTGTACCTTTCTCTCTATCTGTCTGGCTTTGTGAGGGGGGGAGGATTTGCATTATTGAACAGATGGAGAGGCTTTCCCCGAACCCCCTGCTATCCTCCTTCCATTTCATCTCTCCACAGAAGCAGCAGCTGGGTTTGAAGGCTAGCCATAGTGTCTTTGTATTCAAACAAATGAAACAGAGGAATCAGCAACATCTCTGCAGCAACAGTGGAAACAAGCAGCATCACAACAACAAATCTGAGTGTTTATGAAGGAAGTGGAGAGTTCCAAAAAGGCCAGGGTGGTCTGAGAGCAGTGTGATGTTGGATTTGGTGTTCACAGGTATTAATTTAGTGTACTTCAGTGTATTAATGTATGTCTTCAACCAGTCTGTTGTTGCGGATGCTGTCTTCTTTGCTGGACAATACATCACAACACTCCTCCATGACCTACTGGTCAGACAGCAAAGCACCTTCAGCAACAGATTCATTCAGCTGTGCTGTAGTAAGATAAGGTAGAGGAGACTGTTTGTACCAACAGGGATTGCACTGTACAACACCTTGTCACTGTGCTGGGACATTATTGTACACTGAGCCACTGACAGGACAGGCTCACTGGGCACCAGCTGGACATTACATTTCATTACATCTCTCTACTCATATTACTAAGTACTGCCACTTTGTTTATACATCTATATATATTTCATATTGCACTGCCACTTTGTTTATTTGTCCATAAATATTGCATAATGCACTGTCACTTTGTTTATACATCCATAAATATTTCATACTGCACAACTGTTAACATAGGTTATCTTTCACAGTACAGTCACTCGGTTCATGTAAAACACAAATTACTGTTCCATCAACATTAGAAGTAACTTGAATGATTAAAATAAACAGGTTAATAACATTTTTATTATAGAATTTGTTTATAATGTGCTGTATATAATATATTTTTTAAAAGTTCTTTAAAGAACTATTTACAGCAGTTTTTCCATAATAAATAAGAAACTTATAACCACTGTCATAGTTCTATATACTGTACTGGGCAAACGGTTTAGGTACCTGGGATCTGATCTGGCCAACAAGAATGTACTTGCTCAAAAAACAAACAAACAAAAAAACAAACAAACAAACAAAAAAAAACATACTACAATAAATGTAAATAACATGAATATAATAAGCAGTGGTTTTATGTGTTTGTTTAACCAAACCTTATTGAGGCAAACTAGCATCATTTGTAGTTGTCGTCCAGAACCTGGTTTGGTTAATCAATACTTCTTTATGCTAAATCAGGTGTGCTGGTGATGGAATTTAGCAACACCACATGACTGGGTGCATCAGAGAAATCTGGATCCAAACTTTTGTGCTACAATCTAGCTCA